TTTTTCATTCCCCCTCCTCATTTCAATCAAATTTAAAATAGAAATAAAAAACCTTAGTCAATAAAAGACAATGCACCAAACACATTGCTCCACATTGTTCAACATTTCTAACTACACACTTAGTCAATAAAGTTGTTAACTCTTATCTTTGTGATAAAGTTCATGTGAAACCATGTGCATGTGAGACCGTTTATTGAAAGACCTGAGTAATTGGAACATCTCCTAAGTCATGTCAGATTAAAGTAGTAAAAGCATTCCATCTTTTTTAATCATTTATCCAATAGAGTTCTCAAGTACCATTCATTAACAGATTGGGTCATTAAACCATGTACCAAATCTAACTCTTTTACACTCCTACCTAATAAAGCTAACAACTAAAGTCCTATCAAGTTCATAGTTTAGTCAAATCTAAATTCAATTGTCTGAGTATAAATTTCCAAAAGATGGTTAATTTCCTTCTCGTGGTTCATACTTCAACATTATAAAAGGACGTTCCTACTATGTTCATATGATGTGCATTTCTTTAGTAGAATAAGTAAACATGGTTTTCATTGAAGAGTTGAATGTTTTCAATTCATTTAATGCTAATGTCGATTTTGAATGACATGTTTGCCTTCTATACTTTTTCAAATGGGATTTGTATCATCCATACACCTCATATCATAAGAATTCATTTGTTGAAACTATGAGAACGACAGTTAAGTCATTTGTGATACCACATCTCTTTTTAATTTGTTCAATAAAAAGTTTTTGAGTTTGTTTTCTTAGTTATTGATGAAGATGTTTAACATGTCATTCATTGACATCTACTAATAGTCTATATCCGAACAATGTCAAAGTAACTTAATATAATCTCTCTTTTTTAAGTATTTTTGTATTATGGCACGTTGTAATAGTTTTAACTTATAGTAATAAAATTTTTATTTCTATCTTATTTTTTATTATGGCACATGTATTATGGTGCGTTGTAATACTTTAAGGATTAATGCATTTTTTTATTTCATATACTTATATAGTTTTTCTTCTGTAATAATATTTATTCTCAGCTCCTAATCTTTAATAAATTAAAGTTAGAATAGTATTTCAAAACTATAATTTAATAAAATTGAAAACAAAATTATAAAAGTAATTTAAAAAATATCAAACATATAAATAAATATTTTCTTAGAACAACATATAACTTCTTTACTTTTCCTTCTTCTTTTATTTTAATAAAATTTAAAATAAAAAATCAGTTCAGGTTTTCAAAATTTTCGACTGATATTTTAACCATCATTAAAAAAAAAAAGTCAGAATTTAACTATATGATAGATAAGTGAATTCTAACCTAAAATCAAAAGTATAAATATAGTGAAGGAATATGTTAGGCAGAAGAAAAAAATCTCGCGATTTGGCATATAAAATCAAGATTGATGGAAAAAAAATAGAGTCTTGAGAAAAGTAGAAACTGTATGATTACGACGTTGACAAGCGAACCAATTGGAATTTGGCATGTATGGCAGTAAGGTATGGACCAAACTTTGGGCATGGGATAATCCAACACCACCAATTCCCATTATTTCTTTTTATTTTCCGTAACAAAAGAAAACATCCACTTAGGATTGTCGCAGACGAGGAGTGTCTAGTGGCCACACGAGTTTTACCATTACCAAAACCTCCAAACCAATGTCCGGAGGTGTTCTGTTCCTTACCTTCTGCATGTGAATTTCAATGTTTCCTTTTTTGCCATTCCTTTTCTCCAAGGTAAGCATAAATATCAAGTGCTTCTGGTTTTAATTATTACTGAAATTCCATTTTGTGCCTGCACTGTTGGCGCGACTGTGCAAAGTTGTCTTATTTATTGTGACCCAGATGGTGTTTTGAGTATTGATTTGGAGATTCGTTGAGTATTTTAGAGATTTATACGATTGCTATGGATACTTTGCTCAAAACACCAAACAAGCTTGAGTTTTTGCACCCACTTCACGGTTATTCAGAGAAATTAAGCGGTTTAGGCTCCTCTAGGGTGCAAAATCAGGATTTTAGGTTTGGTTCTAAGAAACCACTTGTGAGATGGGGTAAATGTGGTGGTTTGCGGGCCAGTAGCAGTGCCCTTTTGGAGCTTGTTCCTGAATTCAAGAAGGAGAATCTGGATTTTGAACTTCCTTTGTATGATTCCTCAAAGGGGGCCGTGGTGGACCTTGCTGTTGTGGGAGGGGGACCTGCTGGGCTTGCAGTTGCGCAGCAGGTTTCTGAGGCAGGGCTTTCAGTTTGTGCTATTGATCCAAACCCTAGGTTGATTTGGCCCAATAATTATGGGGTTTGGGTGGATGAGTTTGAGGCCATGGATTTACTCGACTGCCTTGACACCACCTGGTCCGGCGCAGTTGTCTACATCGACGATAAAACGAAGAAGGATCTTGATAGACCTTATGGTAGGGTGAATAGGAAGCTGCTGAAATCGAAGATGCTGCAGAAATGTATCTCAAATGGTGTCAAGTTTCACCAGGCCAAAGTTATCAAGATTATTCACGAGGATACCAAATCTTTGCTGATTTGTAATGATGGTGTCACTGTTCAGGCTACTGTGGTTCTTGATGCAACTGGGTTTTCAAGATGCTTGGTTCAGTATGATAAACCGTATAACCCGGGTTACCAAGTGGCTTATGGGATTCTGGCTGAGGTTGATGAACACCCGTATGATGTAGATAAAATGCTTTTTATGGACTGGAGAGATTCTCATCTGGACAATGACAAGGAGCTGAAGCAGAGAAATGATAGAATACCCACTTTTCTGTATGCAATGCCCTTTTCATCCACTAAGATATTTCTTGAAGAAACTTCCCTTGTAGCACGGCCTGGATTACGAATGGATGATATACAAGAAAGAATGGTTGCTAGGTTGAGACATTTGGGTATTAGAGTGAAAAGTATTGAAGAAGATGAGCACTGTGTCATTCCCATGGGTGGCCCACTCCCAATTCTTCCCCAAAGGGTTGTTGGCATTGGTGGTACCGCTGGGATGGTGCATCCTTCAACTGGGTATATGGTTGCAAGGACCCTGGCTGCAGCTCCTATTGTTGCTAATTCTATTGTTCAGAGTCTGGGCTCTGATAGAGGTCTCTCCGGAGGAGATATATCTGCACAAGTATGGAAAGATTTATGGCCCATCCAAAGGCGGCGACAAAGGGAGTTCTTCTGTTTTGGTATGGACATCTTACTCAAACTTGATTTACCTGGCACAAGGAGATTTTTTGATGCCTTTTTTGATCTGGAACCGCATTACTGGCATGGATTCTTGTCATCAAGACTGTTTCTTCCTGAGCTCTTATTTTTTGGACTCTCTCTATTTTCTTATGCTTCTAATACATCTAGGATAGAGATTATGGCGAAGGGAACTCTTCCTTTGGTAAACATGATCAACAACTTGGTAAAAGATACAGAATGAGATTACTTCCCTTTTAATCTGTTGTATGCTACCTATGGTTTGTGCTTCCAAATGTAGTTTCCTACTCACATTATAGATTTCCAATAATGAATAATTGTGTATATTTATTCTTTGCTCACCGTAATTCCCTTTTGTGAAAAAAGTTCCCAAACTTTCTCTATTTTAAGCTTATCATTGTTTAGATTGGCGTACTTGCAATGGATAAGACGAAAAGAGCTGACTGATTACTGTTGGTTAATGGTTCGGGGCAAGGGATGTTAACTCAATGTAAAGGTTTCTTCATTTCAGCACGACCAGTTTGTCTTACCCTCTAAGGATTAATGTCTCCATAAATGTAATGTGATTACTGTGATTCATTTTGATCAACCTATTACCAATATGATCCATGTTTTTAAATGTTGATCGTGCTAATTCATGGTCTTTCTATCTAGTATATTCAGTTTGACTTCCAAGTTGGGAAGGAAATAAACGGTATACACGATATGCATGATGTGAAAACTATAGCTCACCTTTGTCGTTGAAACCATCATCCTTTAATCCAAGCGGCATATTTTGTTAGTAAACTCAACTATCAACATGCCAGTGGCGTATCATACATGTTACAGAGCTTCACTTTATCACAGTGCACTAAACTTTTAAGTTGCACTAGATGAAAGAGAAATTTGAACAAGAACTAGGCACTAGAACTGTAACCAGAGAGGCGTGGATAGTCCAGGTAGATCGGAAATGGGTATTGGTTAGAAGAGGTTAAACATATTAATTGTTACATGTTAAGTTAAATTTTGAAGTAAAGTTGGATCTACTATACACTCGTTTGAAGGTAAGTTCACTTCTATATGTACTTGGCTAAATTATATGCTTCAGCTGTCCAAATCCTGGTCTTACATGTGATCATCAGTAATGTGATTACAGAATGCAAATTTCGTTCTAGAGCTCATTTGAGAAAAAACAATGTCATTTTCTTGTTATGGCATACACAAAAATTATTATTATTCTATTAATAACTTCACTAAAAGTGTTTAACATGTTCTTTTAGATAGATTATCTTAAGATCAACCCGTTCGGCTAAAATAAAGTTAATACACGAATTTATCCTATTAGCTTATCATACCTTTTCAGACCACTTGAAATTATGTTTGACCTTATAATTCTATTTTCCATTTTTACCCTCAATATTTTAATAAAAATCTTAATTTATGTTAAATTGTACTTGAAATATTACACTATTTAAGTAATTTACTTTTAATTTATTGTGAAATACTTTAAAATAAGAATCCAAAATATGCCAAAAAAAACTTAACATTGATTATTATATTTTTGTGTGTACATATAGAGACATCTTTTCATGCCATTTTATACCTACAAGCTAATTTTAACAAACAACTTTACCAATCACTTACTAATTCAAAAAAAAAAAAAAAACTAACAATTTTCAATTTAATGATTTAACATTTTAACTTCTGGCTAATTTATCAGCTATATTCGCCAAACATAAATTGTATTCTACATAACGCTTAGTTTCATTTTCAGCATGTAAATAGAAGAAATTCAGAAAGATTAGAGACAAAATGCATCCAGAAGAATGCAACTCTTATCTTCGAGGCCAAGTGTTTTATTTATACTTTTAACATCAAACAGACATAAACATACATGATGCTAGCCCGAACTAAATAACTCCTACGCCAAAGTTCAAATAAACTGAAAATTCTGCCAAAATCTGATTTTATCTTAAAAAGGTAAATACTAATCTCTAAACTCAAGAAAGCTCTCGGCTGCGCTTAGCAGCAGCAACAACAGCATTCATCAGTGTTCCACGGAACCCACCATTTTCTAATTCATGAATGCCCGCAATTGTTGTCCCACCGGGAGAAGTAACGTCATCCTTGAGTTGGCCCGGGTGCTTCCCAGTCTGTGTCACCATTGATGCTGCCCCCAATACCTGCCAACGACACAAATAGACTAGTCATGCATGCAACTTTAGAAACGAGATTTATAATGTAGGTAATGTAATGTTCAGAGGATACTTGCTTACATATTCAAACAACAGTAACTGTATCATTACTTATTTATCTTTTTGTCTGTTTGTAATACGAGCATATATGCCTATGCGCAGGCAATGTGTTGTTTAATCAAAACCAGTAAAAAAAATTGTGGGCGGGTGTAAGTATGGGTCAAATCAATTTGGATGCACTACAGTGGGAGAAGGCTTTTCCATAAATCCGGTTGATTAATTTGCTCAACCTGTCAAGTAAGCACAGCAATATAGAGGAGGACACTTCGTACATTGCTTGAATCCAATTTGTAAAGTAAACACTGTACAGTAAACAGCAACATATAGTGCACTTGGTATATTACTCGGATACAATTTGTGATTCGTTGTTGTTGGAGACCTTCATCAAGTATAGAACGAACATACACAGTAAAGCTAACAAAAACACAAAGACACAACCAATCTTCAACTTGTCTAATAATTGCAACATATTTTGTGCGTTCTAAATATTACTTATTATATCTGGATTTTATGATAAAATAGCAATATAAGACAACGCAAAAAGCATGCATCACATAAATTATAAACATGCGGAGAAATGAAGTACAAAATTAACTGTTAAATGGTCGAAGGATAGCATTTCAGTTCACTTACAGTTTGAGAAGCTAGATTTAATGAAAGATCACGTGGTAGACCAGCTGCTACTCCTCCATCAGCCAAAGCTTCTATTGCTAAATAAATGTACGCAGGACCACTACCACTGAACAATTCAGGAAAAATAAAAGAAGTTTTTGTAAGTACATCAAAATTTGGTATGTCTGTCACAGAACTCGGAAGCTATTCCAAGACAAAATCTGAAAATTAGGAGCAAGGCTCACATATCACTTGAACAGGGGGAAATGATTTACAATGGTAATAGGGATTCAAAGTACAAACGTAATAGTAATGAGTAAACGTAAATAGCTTCAATTGCACGGGAATAGCATACCAACATCTTAACCCGTCCTTATCCTCTAACCTTGCACTAATATCATCACTTATCTCAAAAGAAACATGTTTATCAGAGACGAAATGAAATTTCTTGTTGATTTCTCGAATAATATTATCATTCAGTGATTTTAGAAATGATATCTACATACCTCAGGCCAGTTATTCCATCAAAATATTTTTCTTCAGCTCTCCATATTTTGCCGATCGACCCAAACAATTTAGCTATAATATTTCCATCTTCCTCTGTTGCAGCTGCCCCCAAGCTCATAACTGTCATAGTTTGGTTTTAGTTATCTATTCATTCAAGTCTGAAATTCTCAACAATGCAAATTAATGCAGAAAGAAATGCAATAAGAATATCCATCGAGTTGTAAAATAACATACAAGGTCCAGAATTACCACAATATGTAAGAGAAAGCATTCTTAACCTTGTAATTTATCCATAATTGAGATTATTTACCCATATAATTTACGCATCCAAATGAAGAAAAAAAAGACATGCTAAGACTACACGATCAAACTATAACAAATGTACACATCAGAGACAATATATAAACAATAGCAGCCTTCATAATAGGCAAAAGCACTCACACTATTATCATAAATCATGTGCAACTTCTATCACATGAAAGAGCCCCATTACAAAGATGCATAAAAATACAAACAATATATAAACATCAAACAATATGAATATTAAAGGCCAGCCAGTTCTAAATGTAGTTCCATTATAAGCTGTAGACTCTATAAAACAGAGCATTAGCATCACAAAACAAGCCTTTTATTAGACAATTCTAGTACCAAAGAGTGTTCAAAATATCCCACCAGCTAACCGAAACAGTCACAGACTATAACGGAAAATTATGTTTTTCACTATGTAGTTTTAGTACTGATAAGTTTAAATGCTATATTATCAATAAACCGAGTTAATTCCACCACCACTTTCAAGTTGCAGACAAAAATTGAATGTTCTATCAAAACTCTTGAGCAGAGAGAAATTAAGCAGTAATTGACAATTTAGAATTCACAGTCAGTTACAGAACTACGAAGTTGTACAAATAATTCATCCATCATACATTCTCAACATTCTGCATATAAAAGTAATAGAGGATCACTATGCTTTTAAAAGTAGAGGGAAAATGGGATAATACCTGATGCTGCCTCGCCAACTGCAGCAGGTGTATTAGGCATCACCCTTACAAATCTGTGACTCCCTGCCCATTCCTACATTTTATGTAACAACCGTTTTCCGTAAAATTATACAACCTGATTATATTTGAGAAAGGCTACTTGCACAAACCCATGCGTAGTATATTTGCTTGGTCTCGGAAAGTATTTTTAGTTTTCATTTCCTCTTTTAACTTTTGAATACAAAAATATCACCTTATTTTTATTTTGTTTCTTATTTTCGAAACTTGATCCAAATAAAAGAGTGAAACCAATCTTTTATTCTCTCATTACGAGTTTAATTGTGATGCACTGTAAAATGTAAAAGTCAATAAACTTACAGCGGAGAGGATGGATTTGTGATTTGATCAGTGAAAAACACATTTACAGTATCAGTGCATTTAAATTAAATCATTTTCTTTTTTCTTTTTTGTTAGTATAATCATAAAATAGAAACACGTTCAGTTCCCACTAAAATTACAGTCTACACAACAAAGTACACAAAAGCAAAAAAGAAGAAAAAAAAATACATTGCATTCGTTACCTGAAGATCTTTCAACTTGACGCCAGCAGCCACCGAAACCAAAAGCTTGTCCTTCGTGATTATCGGCTTCAATTTCGACACCACGTCTTTCACTACAACAATACACACAGAAGTAAATGAAATCGCAAGTCGAATACGCATGATGACCGGGAGAGAGTACAACAATACCTAATTGAGGTTTGACCGATAGAACGACGACGTTGCTTTCGCGCACGACCTACGAGTGTGAAGAAAAAGGAGTGAAAACGGCGTGACGTTTGTTTAAGAGACAAAAGAAAAGGAGAGGGAACGGTAATACGTCGTCGTTCGATGAGAGGACGGTGACGCCGAATGATTCGAACGCTGTGCGGCGCGCGGGATTGGAGTGTACAGCGGTGCGAATGCGAGAAGGCGGCAGAACACCGGAGCGAACGGCACCGCGGGCAATGGACTCGGCCATTTTTCCGGCGCCGATGAAACCGAGAGTGTAGGTGTCGGCGGGAATGCTAGCGATTTCCATTTTGGGTTACTTGGCAGAGAAATGAGTTTGGATCTGAAACTGAAATAGGGAAACAGAGAAAGAAGAGAAGTGACGCAGTCACGTTGATTGGTTTGGTTTGGCCACTCTTCCACTTCCAGTTTTTTTGGTTTGTTGTTACACTTGCATATTCAATTTGGAAATTTTTTTTCTGCTGTAGCCCCCATTTTACATCAGGACCCACTACCACCTTATTTATCTAAATAGATTCTTTGAGTGTTTATGTTACAAAACTCATTCTTACAGGAATTGATGTTGAAAGTGAAAAAATGTTAAAAGTGAAATTGATGTTCTAACAACTCTATTTTTTTAATCATTCATAGTAATTAGAGTTAAGATTATAACTCAATAATAACATTAATAATTATAATTAAACTATTATAACTTAGTTCTAAAACTCAATACCAAAATATGGTTAACATAACTTATATGCACTCCAAAATAAAAACTAAAAGTTTAATACCATTTTCAACCGCTAACATATATTATCTCAATCATTTATATATTACTTTTGACTAGTTCCTCTTACTATACATGTTATAAGATTATCGCAAGAATAAGAGAAAGAAGATACAAAAATGCAAGGGTAAGTTAATTATCACAAAATATAATCACTAATTGAAAGATATCATAACTTTTACAAAATTTTTAAATTAAAGTCACTTAACTAAAATTCAAGTATCAAACTATAGACAAATTTCTAGACTTTTGTTTCCAGGAGACTAATATATTAAATGGACTAGTAATAATTTACACTTGTCATACGGACCATTATCTTCTCTTTGTATACAACAATAACTCAAATGGAACATCATATATCTCATCCACTACTGACAAAGTTAAGTTCATTAGCTCCCTAAGTATGATGCTCTTTCATATCATACCATATGCTCAATGCAACCTTTTCTTCAACTTTCGCCACCTAATTATCATCTCTATGTGAATTTGATACAAGTGATAATCTTACATCATAAGTCCTCTTAATATACTTGATTTCATCCTAGATTATCATTTCTCCTTGGAAATAGCTAATGTGACAACTAGAGCACACTAAACTTTCACAAATAATCCTACATTCTAGAGAGATATTGAGTTTGTATAATAAACTCTATAATAATTATAATTTAACTTTTCATAATAAAATATTATTGTATGAGATTTATTAATATAATTTATCTTTTAACACATAACATAATACTATCATAAATATCATTTGACAAACAAAGAAAATCATTTAACAAGATAAAAATCACTCATAAAATGACAAAAATGACATATTACCATCTAGCAACAAAGCTACAGACAAATCAATTTTTTTCCATGAAAATTTAGGATTTTCCATCACTTCATATTTTTCTCATTCCTATCTTCAATTTACAACATTTACACATATCCAACATTTTAATAAGCACCCTAATATCTCATATTCATTACTATGACATTAATTTGATTCTCCCTTTCTATTCTTACAAACATAAAGAATTAACACTTCATCCATATTTTCAAACCACTCATCAATCCAACATGCTTTCAATCATATTTTTAATTGAAAATTCCGCAAACCACACTAATACTAAGAAAATCCACAATTTCATGTGTGACGAATTAAGGAATTTGATGTGTTAGGGGCACTGAAATAATTAATTATCTTAAGTGATAGTCGATTATCACATTATGTTTTGTGTAATTGTGAACTTTTCGAGAATAATTGATTATCACTTATGATAATCGATTGTCCCAGTGTATTTTTGTTTAAAATGGCGAATTTGATGAAGAGTCGACATGGACAAGGCTTTAAGGAGCTATAAAACATGGTGATAATCAGAGAATGAGATTTGTGGTTATGTTTAGGGTTAGTCTTGACTTGTGTTTAAGATTGGAGCATGAGTGAGTGTTGGGATGTACCTAAGTATGTGGTTGATGAGCGTAAGAGTGGGGGATAAGTCTACTTGTTGTACCTAGTAAATCTTGAGTTTATATGTGGATGGGTTCTTCCTTGTGCCTAATGTGCAAAGGAAGGATTGTTTAGGTATTGAACCTTCCTTATGTGGGGAAGATGGTGTTTCCTTGTCTGTGTGTGGGAGGAATACGTGTTCCTTAGGTAGATTGCGAGACTACTCGAGCAAATCTGTAGGGGAGGCTACAAATGGCTTGTAAGGAAGGCTACAAGTGGCCTGTAGGGGAGGCTATAGACTGGTGAGGTAGGGTAAGAGAGTGAGACAGATTATTCTCATTATGATGTTTATGGTTTTGTGAAGGTTCACGGTGGTGTTTATGATGGGGTTAATCATGATGGTGGTACATGTGTTGATGATCGTAATGACAATGATGCTCCATGGTATGCTATGTTGTTAGTGATTGTATCATGTGGTGTAGTTAGCATATGTGATGATAAGCGGATAAACGGTTAATCTATGTTTATGATGTTCGTGATAACATTGATGATTAAGGATCGAGTAATTTAAGATTATTGAATTGTTTATGTTAAAAGATTATGAATTATATTGTTATTACTTCTATGTATGGGGTGTTTGGTTATTTGGTTATTGTTGATATAGTCAATATGTATGTATCTTGTTTTATGATGATATTGTTGATAACTTACCCCATACGTGTTTATGTTGTGTGTTTGTGAATGAAATTATCAACGATGATCGTATAATGCGTTACACGTGAGCAGATGATATTGCAAATATTTCATAGGCATGATAGACTCGTGAGATGATGAGAGAAAAGATTTGGGTTTTCTTTATAGTTCTTTTAATTAGACTTTTGATAAAATGTAATATGGAGTATTCTTATTTCCTTGGTCTTTTTAATTAATTTAAAAAAGATGTAATTGGATATTGCTTTTAGAACTAATACGATTTAATTTAGTTATGCATGTTTAATTATTGAGGTTTTTGAAAAATACATTTTCGTGCTATAAGAAAGTTTTAGAATTATCGGTTTTTGTAAGAACTTGTGACACCCGAAATGTAAGGGCTATTACTTTAAGAACAAGTCACAAGTACAAGGCTTTGAGGGAGCCCAAGAGGATGAAGATAAGAAGAAAGAAGACACACATATTGATGACAATGGATGACCAAGTGAACCATCATTTGAGACTACCATTGATAAATTCAAGTTAGTATCCTCTAACTCTTCTTCTAAAAATTATTTTTCATCTTATTCTCCACCTCCTCTATATCCAAATCGGTTGAGCCAAGAAACAAAAAAAATGGAGGACCAAGATATTTTAAATACTTTCGGAAAGGTGGAGATCAACATTCTCTTGCTAGATGTTGTTAAACAAATTCTAAATACGTCAAGTTTCTGAAAGAACTTTGCACAAATAAAAGGCGCATTAGGGATAATGAGGTTGTGAATTTAGGAAGAAATATGTCAAGCTTGATTAAGAAGCATATTGAAATACAACAAAAATGTAAGGATCCAGGTATGTTTTATGTTTCTTGTGTTATTAGAAATTCAAAGTTTGATAATGCCATGCTAGATTTAGGGGCTTCCATAAATGTAATGTCTTTATCAATGTTTACTTCTCTATCTATGGGACCTCTTAAGACTACTAGTGTGGTCATTCAACTGGCCAACTATAGCACAATTAACCCTATAGGCGTGCTTGAGGACGTGCTTGTCCAAGTAGACAAGTTAACTTTTTCTGCATATTTCTATATCATAGATATGAAGGACAATGAAGGAATCAGCCCAACAACTATTATCTTGGGAAGACCTTTCATGATGACAACACAAACAAAGATAGATGTGCATGCAGGATCATTGACAATGGATGTCAGAGCGGCTGCAGCGAAATGGTTAACGTGGAATAAAAAATCAAGGGGGGGCGGGGGGTGAATTGGTTTTTAATAATAATGTGTGCTGATGAGTCGTTATTTCTTGAATTATATTTAGTTTATTGCACTTAAATAAACCAGGGAATTGTGTTTAATTGTTTGTTATTT